GGGGGCAGGCGGGGATCGAACTCATGAGGAAGTGGCTTTAGCTTCTCAATGCAGTGCTTTAACCCGCTGCGCCACCAGGGAGGGCCCTCTCAGTAATTTTTAATAGAGTAAATGTTTTCAGTCCCCATGTGAAAATGCTTGAAAACTGGTTTGCAGAGCACTAGGGTTAATGATGGAAATATGGAAGAGCTGTAGGGAGTAGTCTTTAATTTGATAAGCCATCAACCGGATGATGATACAATCTTATAGACTGGAAAGTGACCATAAGAATTTTTGTAAAAGGAGTTGTTACACTGGAACACTAGATAAAGAATTAGAGATTTTTTTTTAATAGACTATCAGTCAAACCTAATAGGGATTATAAAGCAAAAGCAGGCACAAACTTATTCTAGGAAATCTAAAACTAGTGGTTATTACAAAATGAAATTTTGCTCAAGTACATGAAAAGCATTTCCTAACCATCAGGACTGATAGTTCCTTCAGTTGACAACTACTGTGCCAAATCTTGCCAGATTCAGGGGTTTTAGCAAGGAATAAGATCCTGCTCTTCTCTCCCTGGTGGTGAAATGGGTTAAAGCACCACATTATGAAGCTCTCTGAAGCCACTGCAGTCCGAATTTGATCCCCAGTCAGGGAGCTGACCCACATGGCAAGGCAGACCTCTCCTGACACGCCCACTGCTCCCCTCAGCAGTGTACTGTTCTGCTCCCCACTCTGTCTCTGGTGAATTCTCTCACCCACCACACCTCTGGCCTGTATCCCAGTTCGCTAAGCATAAACAAATAAATTTTTTAAAAAAGATCCTGCCCTTCTGGAGAGTAACAAGCATACTATCCTAATCGCAGAGTCTGATTAAGTATTCTGATGGGATGAAACAGGCTTTTGTGACAGAGAGTCAGGTGTTGGGGTAAGGTCATGGGGGAAATTTCTATGGAAATAAAAGTACCTCTGAGGAGATGACCAATATAAGCTAACACCTGAGAAGCAGAAGCAGCCTATGCAAAGAAAATGGACAAAGGTCTCATAAACGCAAAATATTTCGAGCTCAGTAAGAAAGTAGCATGACAGGAGCACAATAATGGGAGATTAAGCAAAGTGGAGCTGGATAAATAGCCATAAGAAATAGATAAAGTTTCCTTCAACCTTAAAGTAGCCAATCAGGCCAATTGCAACAAAAATCTCCATGGCTGAGCCTAAGTAACAGTATTTGTTTTAATAGTTGTTCAGGTGACACTAAAATATGGCCTGGGATGAGAGTCACTGCTAGAGAGTCAGTTAGGCTATTTGATAAAGAATATAGATTGTAATTTTAAGAATATTAATATTTATATAAGAATTAAGGATACCAGTATGATTGACTTGTTATTCCAAAGATCATTCTGATTATTAAAGGAAGCAGTAGAGGGGCAAGAACAGAAAACACATCAATCATGAGTTATGAGACTGAGCATTTATCAGGAAACATGTTGAGCTCAGCCACTAGATGGCCAATGCTGAGTCTGATTTTTCAGACACTAAACAATTAATAGGAACAATCAGAGAAAAGGGAAAAGAAAACTACGAAGAGGAAACATTCACAAATATAAATTGCTTCATAGTGCACTATCAATCTGATTATGAAATTTCTTGACTAAATAAGGGATTTATTTATGTCCTAATGTTGCTATCATATATAATTATGTAGCTACAGATTTATCCTTTCAACTAACACTTCAAACAAAATTAGATAGAGAATCCTATTTACAGTCTTAATTCGTTAATCTTCAACCAACCTAAAACCTAATCTACAAGTCCAATATTTTGTTATATTAGCTAATGCAAAGGTAAAGTTTAAAGTTGCTTTTCTTACAACTGAAATATATTGTTCTCTTCAAACTGAATCTCAATAATAAAAAATTGATACAGCAGTAAATATTATTCTCACTCAAAAATACTTATAAAGTGAAATCTGATGTGCAATGTCATCAAGTAATGCTTCTCAGCCTTTAACTTACAACCTCAGGAGTTCTTTCATTTGCCAGTATTCTTGCCACTTGCCCTCATATGAAGGCAACAGGTTTTAATCTTAATTAAGGAGCTGCCTTTCTTAAAGAAGGTGAAATGTATCTTAAACTCACATCTCTATCAAAAATGGGAAAACATCTGGTTCCATTGCTCTCATTTATTTTATCCATCTGGCTCCTCAAGGTATTTTGAGTTTAAAGCTCAAGAAAAAAAAAAATAGTGTGAAGTATTTTCTAATCTTAGTTGATTAACTTTGCAATAATATAGATGATATCCCAGATATTTTAATGATAAAATCAGGTGATTGGTAATGTTACTGTAATACCAGTTGTCTCAAACAATAAAGCATATTAGCTAGAAAAATCAATGTAAATTCACAGCACTTATTAGTTAAGCTCAATCGATCATCGAGTTTTATATTTAACTTCAATCCAAAGATTTTACAAAGAAAAGAGAATTACCTTTCAGAAGATGATTCAGGTCCATTGTGTCATGTAAGACCTTTTGTTTATATCTCTGGTCTAAATTGGAATCTAACATTGCAGCTTTTGATGTGAGATTGGGTCCGTGTTTTTCTTTTCCTTTTTTGGCTGATTTCAAAGATTTTGAATTACTTTTTAAATCCTCAACATTTCCATACACTTCTTGACTTACATTTTCTTGCTTCTTAACTTTCACTTTTTGGTCATTTGATGCTCCCAGCTCAAAAGACTGAACAGGGCTGATGTCTGGAGTTGATAAAGGAGTTACATCTGTCACTGTGTCTTCAGATTCCTCCATGAAGTCATTGGCTCTTGGTTTAGTATTTGAAGGTTGTGTTCCTGTTGATTTTATCCCTGGTTTATATTTCTGTTTTGGAGACAAGTGGGTTATACCAGATACATGCTTCTTTAATGACAGTGGAGAATCAGATGCATCAGACCCTGCATTGGAACAATCTGAATCTGAACTTGAAGATGATGACGACAAAGAGGAAGAGGAGCTACTTTTGGGATACTTTTTACTTACACTTTTTTTAAAGTTATTCGATGGTTTAGCTGACTTGGAACGGCCATGATGCTTTTTACCATCATCACTGCTTTCCTCTTCATCTGTACAGGAATCACCTTTAACGTCTTTTACAATTTTTGGAATTCTGTTTGGTACGGGCAAGTGTATTTTGTGTTCTTTTGTAGCATCATTCAATTTTTTTGATCTTGAAGAAGTAGACAATGGTGAAGAATTTCTGGTGTGCATGCTATCATTTTCCACAGGGTGTTCTTCTAGAGGGGTTTTCTCCTTTCTTTCATTTCCTTTGTCAGTAAGATAATTTCCCTTTTTTTGTACTCCAAATTTCAGGTTTACACTGTCTGTATCTTTTTCTAATTTCTCTTTCTGTTCATCATTTTGCTTGCTAAAAACTGAATTACTGTCGCATTTTTTTGCTTCTTCAAAGTCACTGTCAAAGAAAGAATGATCCACTTCACCATCTGATAAATCTCCGAACCGATCCATGATGGCAAAAATATATCTGAAAAGGAGGAAAGTAAAGCCATTGAGCTAAAAGTAATTTCCAAATAATTATTATTTTTATATAGCAATTGCACAATTTTTCGAAGCTAAGAAATGTGGTTAATATGTAAAGAAAACATGGCCCTCCCTGGTGGTGCAGCGGGTTAAAGCACAGCACTAAGAAGCTAAATCCACTTCCGCATGAGTTCGAATCCCGCCTGCCCCGGAGGTGACCACATGGCGTGGCAGACCTCTCCTGACCCGCCCGCTGATCAACAGTGTACTTCATTGATCTGCCTGTTCTGCTCCCCACTCTGTCTTTGGTGAAGCCTCTCGCCTGCCCCTGAGCCTCTGGCCTGCACTCCAGTTCTGTATGCAAAAATAAATAAATCTTTAAAAAAAAAAAAAAGTAAAAAAAACATGACCAAAAAGACACCACTAAAAAAAAAAAAAGAAAAAGAAAAACAAACAAACAAAAAAGAAACCCACCCAGTAACTCTGTTAGCTGGTAATAGACACATAGGTGATGTCAATTTCTGAAAATAAGTAACTTTAAAAGTTTAGTTCCCAAGAAAATAATAGAACAATGCAGGCATAACACAAACATGGGTATCTTGGTGATCCCTAAGGGATATCTTGACTTCTAAAATTGAGTAGAGTTATGGTGTTAGAATCTCATTATATCAACTAAGCCAGCCCAACACACATTATTTTAAGTGGGAGCAGCTCAATGAAGATTGTTTCAGTGCTTGCCTTTGTCCTATTTGTTTTCTCACTGCAGTTACTGGGGAAGAAGCAGGAAGTAACTATTTCAAATAAAAGCTCTCCCTATTCCTTTCTGAAGAACAAAAACTTTACAGCTTGTACAGGTAGCTCAAAGCCACACTTCTGAATATTTAATCACAAATAACCACATGTAAAATATAGGGGGAAAGTCTATACATCTCATTGTGTTAAAGAGAATGTGGTATGAGAGCAATTTTAGAGTAGACACATCATCTGATATGGGGAAATTAAGGTATATTACTTAGACACATAGAGTTAAATACTGTAAGAAACAGACATAATAAGTATTCAAGTAGTTGCTTTTAGCAATATGCAGGGACCACTGTTTCGGATTTAGGCTTTAAATTATAAGTTGACTTGTAAATTTAAATGTGCATAACTATGATAAAAAGCTATAATTCATTTTAAAATATCTTAATGCTTTATATATTTAGAATCAAATTACAAAAACACCATAAAGTCGTAACTTTTAAAAAGATTTCTCTCCGGCCTCTCTGGTGGTGCACCGGTTAAGTCTTAGCGCTCTGAAGCTATCCACAGCCACTGCAGCATGAGTTTGATGATCCCAGGCCAGGGAGGTGACCTCCTGTTACTCCCACTGCTCCCCTCAGCAGTGTATTTCAATAGATCCACCTGGTCTGCACCGACTCTGTTTCTAGTGAACCCTCTCACTGCTGTCCCCCACCCCCCTCTCCAGGCCTACACCCCAGCTTTTGTATGCATAAATAAATAAAGTAAACCTTTAATAAAAATATTTCTCTCATTACTGTATCACACCACTACTAGCAATCTTGAATTGAGTGTTTAACCTCTTCATTAAAAACAAAACAGGAAAACCAGAATTCCTTTCAAGCAGCTAATTCCACTTTGAAGGCAAAGAAAAATAGGGACCTAGAATGTCTTCTTGTTGCCAAAAAACACAATCTTCAATTATGCCTGTGATAGTGAGGATAAAACAAAAGATCCCAGGGAAACGCACTGGACTATGGTGATGGCAAACCCAAGGGGACTGCAACTGAGATGGGAAAATGCACAAAAATATGTTAAAAAAAAAATCCTATTTAAAGAAATTTCCAATGCTAAGCTAGACAAGTTAGTACACTGAAGTACACATATAATAATGAAAGGTGGAGTGCTTGTCCATGTTATTAAAATGAGCTGTGTTAAAGGAGTGACATAAATTTTCAATAGTAATATGCAGTCAGATTGCAACTGAGATGGAAAAATGCACAAAAATAAGTAAAAATAAACTAATAATAAAAAAATTAAAAACAAAACAAAAATATGTAGTCAATAAACCAATTATGTGCTCATTATATTTAAATTATGATTAATTCTGTTACATGAAATCAAGCATTACGATTATGTAATTTGTATTCTACATCAATCGTGATATTCTGCAACCTTTAATTAGTGAAGTGGCCCTACAACTTATAAAAACATGTAGACTTGATTTAAAAATCAGCCTAACTTATACTATTTATACTAATTTGATAATATAAGTTTTTTTTTTCTGTCTTTAAGGTTTTGAAGAATTTGAGTTAGAGGCAGTAAGTAAACTTATAAAAAAACTAATCAACTTTTAAAAGCTTAAGGTAATCTGATTAAATCAGTAAGTTTAGACTTACTTAATTCATAAACAGTAAGATTTCCTTTATTAATTCTAAGAGTACCTTGTCAGGAGGGGTAATCTGAAATAGCAAATAACAACACAGTAATTGCACAGAGTGGGAAAAGGCAAGGAGAGACCAGCTACCGATGGCTCCATTTTAAAAAGAAGATTCAGCTGAAAAAAAGACTTGGAGCACACCAAGTGGCAAATTTACATTTTATTCTGAGTGGTCAAACCACCTGTGGAAGGATGCAAACAAGGGGCTCATTAGCCAGTAGCAATAATGAGTACCCAAAAGGGTGTGTTCAGCTACCTGAAGGGCTGTGATTTGAAAAAAGATTTTAGAGGTGTTAGTTCCAGAAGTGGAACCTGGTGGAGTGCATAAGAAGTGTTCAGGGCCTCCCTGGTTGCACAAGGGGTTAGTTAAATCTCAGCACAGGAAGCTATCCACAGCCCCAGCAGCCAGAGTTGATCCCCGGCTGGCCAGGGAGGTGACCTGAAAGACTTGCCTGAAACTCTCTGCTCTCACCCCCTGCTCCCCTCAGTCGTGTGTTTCAATCGACCTGCCTGTTCTGCTCCCCATACAGTCTTTGGTGAATCCTCTCACCACCCCCACCCTGTACCCCAGTTGAATGCATAAATAAATCTTTAAAAAAGAAAAAAAAAAAAGGTGTTCAGAGTTTAACCCAAGAGTTGCTCAAAAATGAAACAGGACACTAGGACACTTTTAAGATTATGGGCTAGGAGTCACTAGATAAAGCTGGAACAAACACTGGATGCCACAGGACATGCTCTTTTCCAACCCTAGGTCTCCATCCTTAAGTCTATCCATAAGCTAAATGAGACCACCTTGTTGAAATCCCTGTTTCACAGCTAACAGTTTCTTGGGTTTCTTCTCTCGTCAGACCAAGATCTCCAGATAGCTGGCTCATCTTTCTATATATCCCTAGTGCCCAAAGCAGGATCTAGTAAATATTAAGCATTCAAAGAATGTCCATCTGATGAAGGAGTTTGGAGTTAAGAGACTTAAGTTGCAGCCCTGGTTCTTTTCTATTCATACAAGCACAAAAAAACCACTCTTTACGCCTAAGCTTATTTCTTGACAGTTCTCCACAATCAGTTCCTCTCACATATATAACCCAGAATTAAGCGTCCTTTAGCTGCACTTCTATGGTACAGGCATGGAGTCCCCCAAAGCTGTAAGCATTTGCCTCTAAGGGGGAAAAGTGGACCAGAAAAGGGTGCACACCTCAGTGCCTGGGAGACTTTTCTGGCTTCAAGTTTGGTTCATTATATCTGACAGGGTCTTTGTAAGGATTTAAACATTCGGATGATTCACTCACTGAGAAATAATCCAGTTATTACAATTCTCTTGATAGCATTTACTTTAACAATAAAGAGACGAATTTACATTAGAGAATAAAAACAACATGGACTGACGACAGTAAAGATTCTCTTTACAAATTGGAATCGGGTCAATACTCGATGACAGTTCATCAGACAGAATGACCCTCTTGATGCTCAATGAAGGCAAGTACTTGCCAAAGCTGCCAAGGAGTGCCCCCCAATACTCACCACTCCTGCAGAACCACCGGTAGAAATAATGTCTTCAAGATACATTAAGAAAACACATACATAAGAATCAGACTTTTGCTTAAAATGTTTTGTTACCGGGACATTACATTATTGTACTTAGATATATAACATGACTAAAGAAGTTAACCGATTGGGTACATGAAAATCTCGACCTAAAGTAAACACCTGTTTTCCTTCCAGGACCTCGAAGCTCGGTTCACCGCCCCCTCCAGACCCCCTGGAGGAAGGTAACTGACAGCCTCACAAGCCCCGGGGTTCAGGCTCAGGTTCGCAAACGTGAACGGCGGTGACCTGAACCCGGCTCCTAGTGGCCACCACATCTTAATTCAGAGGCGACCCCGACCCCTACGCCACCCCCGAACGCGTCCAAAGGACGAGCGCGGCGATTCCCACCCCGGCCGACTTGGGGTTCGGACACCTTTGTTGTGGTTACATCCGCCGCCCGAGGGGCTAGGGAAGCCGGGGAGGTGGCGGAGCCACAGGCAGGGGCGGGACCCTCCGGCCCGGAACCTCCCACTCTCGCTTCCAGGTTTGGATCCTGAGTGCTCACCGCGGCCTGTGCTCCGGAGAAGGGAAACGGATCCGAACGGCGGGGAGCGAGGCGAGCGCGCCGCGAGCGGAGAGACGGGGACTCCCCGCGCGGTCAGCCGGAGCAGCGGCCGCTACCCGCCTTGCGCGCCGACTGCGGAGTT